CTGCATGCTGATTTTACAGCGGACCTTTTAAAATAAACAGTGTAACTTTTATGTTTGGTTGACTGCATTTTAGTTTGATGATGAATGGCTGAAATGTCAGGCAACGGTAGAACTAATGTTGTTTGTGTGTGCGTGAGGCGCCTGTGCAATCAGATGGATTAAATCAAATAAAGATATAAAGAAAATAAATCAAATGCATTAAGAGTGTCACAGAAACGAGCGTAGCCTTGTTGCACAGTGTTTTTTCCCCCCTTTTGTTAATCTGTTAATTATATTATAGCCTATTATATAGGCTATTTTGTGTGCTCCTATTTATTTTATTCCTTTTATAGGCTTAATTTCTGTTTTTCTCCTTTCACAGAAGCGCTGCAGGTCCATGATGTGACGATTGAATCCTCATGGTCTTGTTTACGCTGCTATTCGTGCATATAAAGCTAAAGCCCCTGTATAAACCTATGTTTTAAAAATATGTGTTTCCAGCTGCTGGGGTGAATATAAACGACCACAGAATTGCACAAGCAGAGAAAATTGATCAAAAAAATATCAATTTTACTGATAAGCTTAGGAACAATGGTTTACAGACAAAAGAGAGAATATGATGAGAATATGGTAAGTCTTTTGACTTCTGTGGCTGTGGAGGGAAATATAGAGTGTAAAAACGAGGTGTTTGTAGATCTTTAAAAAATTAAGCCACAGATTGAATGTCTTAAGTGTCTTTAAATGTCTTAAGTGCTTAAAATGTCAAGTTGCCATCTCTTAAAATCTGAAAATCTAAAAGTAATTTTTATATATGCATAGCATTTGTTCTATGCAAGTTGTTTATTCTAATTGGTTTATAATTGTTTATTATGTATGTCATCCCACATCTCCTACAAGAAATGCACATGGATATTGACACTGCAAAAATATCATAGTTGGTTAGCTAACTGTGCTAGGGATGCTAACAAAATAAAATTATAATTTTTTTATGAAGTTCAGAAGTGACAGTAAAGCCATTTAAAATATTACAGAAGATTTCTATTTCAAATAAATGCTGTTTTGACATTTATGTCCATCAAATAATCCCGAAAAAATGGTATCAATTTCCACAAAAATATTAAGCTGCACAACTGTTTTCAATACCTGAGAATGGAATACATTAAATATTTTGAAATAGAAAAGAGTTATGTTAAATTGTAGTAATATTTGACAACATCATTGTTTTACAGTATTTTTGATCAAATAGAAATGTAAAAAATTTGTTACGGATGATTGTAAAATTGGGTTGAGTGATTTGTATTGCTTGCTATGAACTGTGCACTGGCATCTGCTTTACAAGGTTTAATTTCATAACCAGCCCTGAAAATGTTGCCCAAGATAAATATTGTACCTACAACGTCATTGAATGAAGTTCGTAAGCACGTCATTGCGATTTTACTTTTTTCTGTAAATGTTTCTTATGCGTTTCTAAAATAGGAAACTGTATTTCATCGATTCTAAAGTGAATTCTCCTGTCTCCTTGTGTGTTTCCTGCTGCAGCTGTGGATGGTTTTTACTGCTTGTGTAACCCTGGTTACGCTGGATTAAGATGCGAGCAGGACATCAATGACTGTGTCAGCAACATGTGTGAAAACAACTCGACTTGTGTGGACCTCCATCTGGTAAGGACAATTAATCTTCAACTAACTATTAGTTTCCATAGACAGAAAGAACAACAGCAGTTCTTAGAATAATACATATGGGAACTACGTATAATAACCTCTAATGTGTTGTAACATCTGTTGTTATGAATTCTCCTGTCTCCTTGTGTGTTTCCTGCTGCAGCTGTGGATGGTTTTTACTGCTTGTGTAACCCTGGTTACGCTGGATTAAGATGCGAGCAGGACATCAATGACTGTGTCAGCAACATGTGTGAAAACAACTCGACTTGTGTGGACCTCCATCTGGTAAGGACAATTAATCTTCAACTAACTATTAGTTTCCATAGACAGAAAGAACAACAGCAGTTCTTAGAATAATACATATGGGAACTACGTATAATAACCTCTGTGTTGTAACATCTGTTGTTAAATGATTATTGTTCTTTGTGCAAGGCAATTAATAATATATAAATCATTCCTTGGCCCACCTGAGATATTACGTAACCGGCACAGAACAAATAATGTATAGGCCTATTGTAACCATGCTGTTTTTCTCCACACACTTCTGCAGTTATTTCAGTCTGATTATTTTTAAAACTTTAATATATTTAATAATTAAAAATATACCATGAAATATATTGTAGCTTATATTTAGATAATCATGTTTAACAGTGGAATTCTATGGGAAATCTACATTACAAAAAAATAATCTGCAAACCATTCAGAGAACGAAAACAAGCAATTTGCACTGGAAGAATATTTTTAGCACCAATGTTTTTAGTTTCCAACAAATGTAAATTCTGTTGTTTCTGTATGTGCAACAGCTTTTAATCAATAATTTTATATGTATCTGTCATTTGTAATTTGTCATTTGCAAGATTTCATGGGACTGGAGTTGAACCAAGGCTGCTGAAAAAGTGGGCAGTCACTGTTGCACTCTATTTAACCATAAACAGTAGCTGTTGATTTCTGTGTATTGCGTTGATTCATGACAGTTATGCCACTTATGAACCGAAGCATACAGTACCATGAACCGTAAGCTTACCTAAAAATTTACCACTCTGCCTTGTAAGAACTGTAATATCTGTTTGTTTTTGTTTTTTCTCCCCATTATTGTCCATGGTGTTATTGTGAACAGTTCATTGGTGCATGATAAGGAGAAAATCTTTCATCTCCACATGTAATTTTTTCCTTTTTGCTGGTGTAACTAAAGTTGTGGTGAAAAAACAATGTCTAAACCATATGTTCCATATTTTGACAATCCAATCAAACCCAGTTTCACTTGGTAATATGTCACATTACTGAAGCTGAATATGTTGTAAATGTCATTTCAAGTTGTCTTTTAAAAATTCTAACATATAACCGAGTGCAACATTATTAGTATAATTTTTCTATCACAGGCACTGTCATATCAGTCTGGACAAAAAGTCCCAAGTCTTTATTCTTTGAGTTGCAGTTTTGTTCTGTAGATTAAGCTTGTGTTACCTCACAATCTCTGAGAACAAAGAGAGGGGCAATGAGAGCAATCGGTGGCTCAGAAGCCTGTGTGACATGCAGTTGTTTGGTTCTCATCCCAAATCGGCTTTTCCTTCCCTTCAGCAAACCCACTCTAATGCAGCCAGAAAGAGAGATACCAGCCTCTGTGCTCTCATTTCACACTCTTTCACCCCTCCCCAGCCCTTTCTCTTCTTATTTATCTTACAGGCTTTCTCTTATTTTCCTCTATTTTTATTCCAGTAGCTCTCAGAACAGAACAGGAGGGCAAAAATAGTTTATCATTTATTCATGATGAATAATGCAACCCTAGGCCCCGGTTTCTGAATGAAGAATGCACTATTCATGGCATCCCTCGAAACCTAGAGGTGGGCGGATTGTAGGCTGCTGTCCTGTGGACAGAAATGCAGGCATGGATATTAGCCCTCTTGCATGCTGAGTTAATTAATGATTTGAGTAGCAATTTTGCATCAAGGAATGAGATCATCTCGGAGATGCATAGAGAGTAACCTTGACAAAAGATGATCCAATGTCTTTGCTATTGACAGATCAAGAAAATGCATTTGATTGACTAGCTTTTTGTGTTAAGGTGTCCACAACATGCATTTTTTTCTTCTCGCTATCATTAAGTTCATGCAAGACTTATGAGGTGGCTCATCATGACAGTCCATTCAAAGCCACGACACACTCGAAAGTCTAGATAAATATTTGATCTTGCTTACAAATGTAAAGGAAGAGATTTAAAAGAAATATGGAGCAATTGTCATCTGACATGTTTACGGCTTTACAAGGTTTAATTTCATAACCAGCCCTGAAAATGTTGCCCAAGATAAATATTGTACCTACAACGTCATTGAATGAAGTTCGTAAGCACGTCATTGCGATTTTACTTTTTTCTGTAAATGTTTCTTATGCGTTTCTAAAATAGGAAACTGTATTTCATCGATTCTAAAGTGAATTCTCCTGTCTCCTTGTGTGTTTCCTGCTGCAGCTGTGGATGGTTTTTACTGCTTGTGTAACCCTGGTTACGCTGGATTAAGATGCGAGCAGGACATCAATGACTGTGTCAGCAACATGTGTGAAAACAACTCGACTTGTGTGGACCTCCATCTGGTAAGGACAATTAATCTTCAACTAACTATTAGTTTCCATAGACAGAAAGAACAACAGCAGTTCTTAGAATAATACATATGGGAACTACGTATAATAACCTCTAATGTGTTGTAACATCTGTTGTTAAATGATTATTGTTCTTTGTGCAAGGCAATTAATAATATATAAATCATTCCTTGGCCCACCTGAGATATTACGTAACCGGCACAGAACAAATAATGTATAGGCCTATTGTAACCATGCTGTTTTTCTCCACACACTTCTGCAGTTATTTCAGTCTGATTATTTTTAAAACTTTAATATATTTAATAATTAAAAATATACCATGAAATATATTGTAGCTTATATTTAGATAATCATGTTTAACAGTGGAATTCTATGGGAAATCTACATTACAAAAAAATAATCTGCAAACCATTCAGAGAACGAAAACAAGCAATTTGCACTGGAAGAATATTTTTAGCACCAATGTTTTTAGTTTCCAACAAATGTAAATTCTGTTGTTTCTGTATGTGCAACAGCTTTTAATCAATAATTTTATATGTATCTGTCATTTGTAATTTGTCATTTGCAAGATTTCATGGGACTGGAGTTGAACCAAGGCTGCTGAAAAAGTGGGCAGTCACTGTTGCACTCTATTTAACCATAAACAGTAGCTGTTGATTTCTGTGTATTGCGTTGATTCATGACAGTTATGCCACTTATGAACCGAAGCATACAGTACCATGAACCGTAAGCTTACCTAAAAATTTACCACTCTGCCTTGTAAGAACTGTAATATCTGTTTGTTTTTGTTTTTTCTCCCCATTATTGTCCATGGTGTTATTGTGAACAGTTCATTGGTGCATGATAAGGAGAAAATCTTTCATCTCCACATGTAATTTTTTCCTTTTTGCTGGTGTAACTAAAGTTGTGGTGAAAAAACAATGTCTAAACCATATGTTCCATATTTTGACAATCCAATCAAACCCAGTTTCACTTGGTAATACGTCACATTACTGAAGCTGAATATGTTGTAAATGTCATTTCAAGTTGTCTTTTAAAAATTCTAACATATAACCGAGTGCAACATTATTAGTATAATTTTTCTATCACAGGCACTGTCATATCAGTCTGGACAAAAAGTCCCAAGTCTTTATTCTTTGAGTTGCAGTTTTGTTCTGTAGATTAAGCTTGTGTTACCTCACAATCTCTGAGAACAAAGAGAGGGGCAATGAGTGGCTCAGATGGCTCAGAAGCCTGTGTGACATGCAGTTGTTTGGTTCTCATCCCAAATCGGCTTTTCCTCAAACCCACTAAACCCACTCTAATGCAGCCAGAAAGAGAGATACCAGCCTCTGTGCTCTCATTTCACACTCTTTCACCCCTCCCCAGCCCTTTCTCTTCTTATTTATCTTACAGGCTTTCTCTTATTTTCCTCTATTTTTATTCCAGTAGCTCTCAGAACAGAACAGGAGGGCAAAAATAGTTTATCATTTATTCATGATGAATAATGCAACCCTAGGCCCCGGTTTCTGAATGAAGAATGCACTATTCATGGCATCCCTCGAAACCTAGAGGTGGGCGGATTGTAGGCTGCTGTCCTGTGGACAGAAATGCAGGCATGGATATTAGCCCTCTTGCATGCTGAGTTAATTAATGATTTGAGTAGCAATTTTGCATCAAGGAATGAGATCATCTCGGAGATGCATAGAGAGTAACCTTGACAAAAGATGATCCAATGTCTTTGCTATTGACAGATCAAGAAAATGCATTTGATTGACTAGCTTTTTGTGTTAAGGTGTCCACAACATGCATTTTTTTCTTCTCGCTATCATTAAGTTCATGCAAGACTTATGAGGTGGCTCATCATGACAGTCCATTCAAAGCCACGACACACTCGAAAGTCTAGATAAATATTTGATCTTGCTTACAAATGTAAAGGAAGAGATTTAAAAGAAATATGGAGCAATTGTCATCTGACATGTTTACGGCTTGCAATAAAGTTTTAGAATAGCATCAATGTGTTAATAGCCTCTATATGCTCTATAACCACTCATGCAGTAGGGTCACCACATGAGTGCTTTAAAAGATTAAAAGATTGTTCTACTGTTACAGGTATGAAATCACTGATTGGGAAATGTTTAGCTACCATGTAATTGAGCTCTTAAATTCTATGTTTCCACGTGCTGATTATATAGCAAAGGATGTGGGACGGGGAGAGAGGGCCAGCCGTGGAAAGTCACATGAGCAGTGTTGGGCAATTTACTCTGAAAATGTAATTAAATTACTGATTACTCCTTTTAAAAGTAATCACGTTACTGTTCTGATTACTTTATTTCAAAAGTAATTAGTTACATTACTAGTTACGTTACTTTTTTCTGTGGCTACATCTATGAAATTTACATGAAATCCCAGCATAAACGCTCCCGATA